GCCAAACGTTATATTATTTCTTTTGAACCTTGACACACCATGTATTTTAGTTCTATATTCTCGTACATCTATAACTGCGTCAAGAATCTAGAAGAAGTTGAACATGTAAATAGTAGATCACATTAGTACGTATAGTTTAAGTATCATTGCTGTATCCTTTTCCTTGTTTATTCATGACATGTACTTAGCTTGTTAGAGCACAAACGTACAATAAAGGTTATTCATTCATTCGTTCGTTCGTTCGTCCGTTCGTTCATTCATTTATTCGTTCGTTCGTTCTTTCATTTGTTCGTTCATTCATCCGTTCGTTCGTCCGTTCATTCATTCATTCATTCATTCATTCATTCATTCATTCATTCATTCATTCATTCATTCATTCATTCATTCATTCATTCATTCATTCATTCATTCATTCATTCATTCTTACACTCATTCATTCATTCATTCATTCATTCATTCATTCATTCATTCATTCATTCATTCATTCATTCATTCATTCATTCATTCATTCATTCATTCATTCATTCATTCATTCATTCATTCATTCATTCATTCATTCATTCATTCATTCATTCATTCTTACACTCATTCATTCATGTCTGTTCCGCAGGCCTTATAAAGGAGCTGGACATCCACCCTCGGGAGAACGCCGGGAAGTTCCTGGCGCCGAAGACGACGTACGTGCTGGTGCGGAAGGTTCTGGTGTCGCACGGCAGCAGCGACGAGGAGGCCAGTAACAAGTCATCCAGCAACAAGACGTCTCCTGCGCAGAACAAGGAGTACAGGTGGGAGGGAGCAGCGTCTTCTTTTTTGTCGTCTTGCTCTTTCTTTCTCACTCACTCACTCACTCACTCACTCACTCACTCACTCACTCACTCACTCACTCACTCACTCACTCACTCACTCACTCACTCGACACCCCTCTCTTCCTCCTGCCATGCCTGTCACTGAAGTCTAAATCTTATCATTGTCTCTTTCAGCTTCCTCATGTTCTTTTTACCTTAGACTTAACGTCAAGACAAAAGCAATGTTCAAGAGGAAAGCAAAGCGGAATGTTGATTTTGTTCTGGTCTCTCTCATCCTTTCTACATGGAAGTCTATGTCTTCTTCCTCGCTGTCAGTCTCCTCGTGTTCTTTTTGCTTCTATATAATAATAATCGCATCATCATCGTCAATCCGGTGACTCATCATGAAGATATACTAACAGAGTTGTAAGTCAAGTTAAGATCATTAAACTTCATGTTGATTGTGATCTTCCTGCTTTCCATCTACACTGGGAGGTCTGCGTCATCCTCGTATTTAACCTTTTATCTAACGTCATCATCTTAAATTGTTAGGCCAATATCCTATTGACAAAGTTGTCTGATGTAAAGAGATCTCGATGGCTGACGTTGTAACGTGTGTGCTGCTGTGTCTGCTAGGTACGAGCCCCTTCTGGACAACTGGAAGGAACTCTACCCGAGTTACCGGCCGCACTTCGCCAAGGAGGAGATACAGCAGGGCGGCCGGACCCGGCGGGGAGGGGACAGGCCAGGATCGGGCGGCAGGACCACTCGCACCCGCAAGAGAACCAAGGCTAGCCGGTCCCCACACAACTAGCAACTAGCCTGGATGCCAGACCCATTACAGGATAGGCCCAGAGTTAGCCAGCGTGTGGATTAGGGCCTAAATGAGAGGACTGTGGTATAAATTCCTTGGGGGCATGTTGTAATCTCCAAGCAGATCCTAGGGTGGAAAGGCAGTATCAAATTGGCCAGGCAGTATCTGGTCAATTCCATACTGTCTTATGCCATCCTAGGATCTGCTTGGAGATCCATTAGCATGTTGATCCTGGAAGCAGCCTGGCACCCAGGCTACCAGCTGTGTTTGCCGGTGTCGTCTCCACCTGTAGCAAGTGTAATATAGTGATATGTTTTCATAACGTTGGATGTTTTTGCTGTGCTGCTATGATTTGATATTTTTGCGGTGCTGCTATGAATTCAATCCATGATACTCGTACTGGTATTTGTCACTCTCCTAGTATAATTTCGAGGGTGTAGAAGTTATATACTTTTATAACATTCCACATCTGATCATTGTCTTGAAACGTGGAATGTCAGAAAGTGGAACATCATACTTATTCAGAGTTTATTGCGTTGTATTTATGGTAATCTGCATGTATTTTCTCGCTACTGGCACAGAAAAAATCAAGCTTGTACATGTAGCTTCGGACACAATTTCAAAGTAAAGTGGATACTTTTATAACTTATCTGTCGTGTGTTGCTGGTCTCGTGTCATACATAGAAATCATTGTAAACCTTTACTTCAGAGGTAACGGGTCCTTAAACAAGGCAGATGATGTAAATGCAAACTCGACTCGTGATTGGTCAAAACTTGGTAAAACTGCTTCTTAACTAAGGTCCACTTTCAAACCCACCCATCTAAGCACCACACCCAGAGAAGAGGTAAATGATCAGGGAAAGTTTAGATCGTGAATAGTACGGAAGCAATCGTTCGACAACTAACGAACTTCAATCATAGCGCTGAAGAATGAGTTACGCAACCAAAAGAAAACTCGGAGGTACTGTTATTGTGTAAACAAGTGCTCTATATGGTTTGGAGTATATAAACCCTGTTTCCCGAGAGAAAAGACAACATGAGGATCCTCAGAAGTGTACCATCATGTTCCCGTCTGTAAGATTGATATAGCGCACAGTGACGATATGTACGAGCACGAACACAGTCCCGGAGGAGAACTTGAATTTGTCTTTGACTCGAGATGAGTCGGAATTCCTATTCCCACTTTGACACCTCCAGACGCATGTACTATTTCATCGTGTCTTGCGGTTGGTTTGAGGTCGCTGTATTGGGGCTTGTTCGAATAAATCAGGATTTGAAAGTGCTCCCCAACTGGGGCAGCTGAAAAGAAAAAAAAAGAATGGCAGAAAGTTCCAACTCAGACAAATTGTTATGCGGCAGCAGGTTGTAAAGACAGCAGCAAACTTATCACCAAAGCATGATTTTACAATCATCAAACCAACAAGACTGAAAATAAGTTAACCAAAGGCAATTATCCACCAGATCACGAGATATCAAAACCAGGCCCAATGCGGTACCACAACAAGCTGCCAGGGGGCTCAAAATCTAGTCATTTTGAGGACTCATCAATACCTACCCACGTACCAAGTTTCATGCTTCTTGAACTATCGTGCCAAACTGGCGTTACGCCGAAGGGTCAGTTATACCGGCTATACCGATACAGATACAGAAACCATACACACATACAAAAACATAACCTACTTGGCGAAGGTAAGGATATTAGCAACTTCATAGTCTACACCAGTCGGACGACTCCTTTGCAGGCTGAATAAATAGTAGAAATCGGCCTAGCCTACAAAGGCAAATTGGACCCTCTATGACCGGTTTACTCCCCTGAACATTTACATTCCTGTTTAGGCCAATTTCTACTATTTGCTCAGCCTGCAAAGGAGTCTGGCGGAGACTACAAAGTTCCACCGACGGTCGCAAGCTGTACGTGACGTCACAGCGCACTACGTCACGATCCAAGCGAGGAAAGCTCCCCTCGACCCCCCGCGAACACACTTCAGTCGCAGGATATCATCAAAAACTACCGCCGAAAAAACCGCACAGGTTGATGGCAAATTTCCACATCAAACGTCTCATCGTGTGTCCTGAAAGTTGTCCTTGGGTGGGGAAATGGATACAGACTGGCCAATTTGATACTGTCTTGTGCGGTAATAATGGCGGGTATGGCATCGATCATGTGCGCCTGAAGGGGGAGAGGGGGAGGGGGTTGGAGGAGGGAAGGTTGTTGGAACTGGCAGACCGTCGCTGAAGTTGTGCAGCTGAGAAAGCCACCGTGAGAGAACGAACAGATCCACAAAACACCCGAAAAGAGTTTCATCTGTTTGGTGGAACATAGGATATAGGGATATTCAAGTTAATTTACACAACCAGTAATGTCTCACCCTGCTTACGTTTCGTTGTCTATCAGTCAGTCAGAAGCTCTGAGAAAGGTGTCTGATAGTTATAGACACCGACACGTAAGCACGGGAAGAGACATTACTGGTTGTGTAAAAGAAAATCCCTACATCAACAGACACACAAAAAACAGTCCCCATGTACAAGTGGCCGGGTCCATGGCGACGTAACGGTCCCGCTAGAGGAAGAGAAATGCCGGCGATCTGTCTGTAATGCGCGAGCATGAGCAATGTGCCGTGCGCCGCTGTGGACCATTACACTAAAGACCCGCTAGATTACATATTCCTGGAAAATAGAGAAGTTTGCCCGCCAGTGACAGTGTCAGAAATAACCCAGCAAGCCTCGATGGGACCGGATCTATAGTGGTGATTAGCTCCAGTAAAGGAGGCGGCTTTCCGCCAGATACTTTCATGAGGCAGACGTACAAAGGCAAATTGTTAATCGCGCACACCTGCTGGGGCTTATCTGAGGAGGACTCCCGTGTTTTATGGACTTGAACAGCGAGTTCGGCACTCGCTGGATCCGCCGGGCGATGGAACGAAAACATTGGTAATGTTGCGTTCTAAGGAGCGGCAGGGCGTCCCGTTTCTCGTCAGTGCACCGCGCATTGGCACAGAAATTACATGAAAATCACGTCTTCGGGGGTAGGTGCAAACCGGGGTTCGTACAAGTTGAGGCAGGGAATATTAAATCCGCGGGAACCGGCTATAAAGGGGAATGGGGAAGATTTGCGGGGACTTTCGCGTATCGAGTTTGGGGAAGACAGGAAAGAAAAAAACGCGGGCGTTCGGCTTGTGCTTTCCGTACAGTCAAATCGACAAGATCGTTAGAGATATTGAAGTTGGGATGAGAGGATGAGGATATAGCCTTTTTCGTCTGCACGTTTAACACACGTCATCTAAGGTAACTCATTTCATCTCTTATCCGAGTACACTACAACCAAGTTCGACATGCCGGAATATCATCATCGCAATTTAATAACGCGGAGGTATAATATAGTAATACTTCATCAGGCTACGTCCGCCGCAGTACTAGTACCGGTGACACGCGTACTCGATCGAATCAGAGGTTTGGGTTTTGAGTTATTTTTGGCGCGATTTTATGTTCTTTTATTGGGGTTTCTTTTTGCACTGGAATTTTTTTCACCCAATCCCCAAAAAAAATCAAGTGCAGAAAAGAAACCCCGATAAAAAAAGCCTAAAAACACACGCAAAATAACAAAAAAAACTAAACCTCTGCTTGGAGATTAGGTGACGCGCCGCACGTGACCTTCACAGAGCCATACGGACGTGGGGAGGTCAGAGGTCACGGCGTCGCGTGGCGCGGAGGGATGCGGCACATCACAGGGCCGGGATGATCAATCGGGCACCGGGGACCGGCGCACCTGCGCTGGACGTTCTGATGGGGAAGACAATTAGGGAGATTGCCCGGTGGGTCGCGGAGGGACCGGGCAGGCCAGGGGGACCGGGACGTGCGTGGGTCGGCGGTAGTCTCCACCAGACTCTTTTGCAGGCTGAATAAATAGTAGAAATCGGCCTAAAAGAATGTATCTGGCCAGCATATGCAGGCAAACTGGACCCTTTATGACCGGCCAACTCTCCTGGCCAGGTGTATTCTTTTTAGGCCGATTTCGACTATTTACTCAGCCTGCAAAGGAGTCTGGTGGAGACTAGACCGACGGAGTCGCGTCCGCCCGATGGCAGGTGGCGGGAGCCGTCCCGAGGGACCCGGATCTAGTTACGGATAGAGCACCGGAAATTTCCTACTACTGTACATCAACTCACTCTCTCACACCACCTCAATCTCGGTGGTCTCAGTGTTACACACGGTTAAACAAGCTGGACACGCGAGCAAGTCATTACCGACGTTTTCCTTCGCACGAAGTTTTGTTGTAGTATAGAAGTCTTTTATATAATATATTATAACACAACGTGAGGATGAGGTACGCTCTAGCCAGCGTCTTTGTTTGCAGTCACAATGACACATATTCATCTAGGAGACAAAATTGATGAAGCGTCTCCCACGCAGTGATTTTGGAACCAGACGCCCAGATCCCCTGAGCCACTAAACTCCCCTGGCGATTTCCCCCCAAGTTCGGAAAAGTCGACGTCACACGGTTTTATTTTTTAAACCCCAACGCGGTATCCGGTTCGCTCTACAGCCTACAGAGTGTGGAATCTGAGACAGAGCATTAAAAAGTCATCAAACTTAGTTCCTAAGCCCCGGAAAATGTCATTGGGTGACCGCCATCACGGCACTTACATTTAAAATGAAAATGCCATTATCGCCCGAGATATCACATTTCGCGGGCCGGCCTCGCGCGCGCTGCACTTTAGTCGTCGTGCAAAAACACGGCGAAGGACAAGTCTGGAGTCAGATGGGGGAGAGAGCACAGAGAGGGACACGGACACAAACGACAAATTAATGGGGAAAGGGGAGATTGGGGCGAAATCTTGCGTGTAATCTGCATTTTAATAAATGAATGGCAGCCGGAATTATTGCGGTATTACATTCTGAAGGGTACAAATTAGGAATTTATGTAAAGTCAGGTTGGGTCCCCATCCATCACGGGATCGATGTGTCGCGATATCACAACCAGCATTAATTGCGTCGCCGCTTATTACCCCGCTCGCCCAGAAATGAAATTATCTATTAATTCTAGATTGGGAAAATTTCGCGATGATTGCAAAGATAGGAGAAACTTCGAAATTAAAGAAGAAATCCCCCTAAATTAAACGCTTTCGCTGATCATGATAAGGGCGCGGGGCGGTCGACGGGGGAAGTTGGTGTGTGAAGTGATGGTTTAACCAGGAGGACACCTCTAGTCCGGACAGTCAGGTATACTTCTACCACTAATGCACTGTACCTGTCCTAACTGTGTCTCACAACATCCAACTAACTTTTCACACAACAGACACACACTTTCGTGACCGTCCTATTCCATGATACGTTGTTTCCCCACAGAAAGTAGTTGGGGTTTTCTTCGGAACTGTGAAGAGGAAGAGAACACCACTGTACCAGTCATACATAATACCTGTGTTTCACAACATCCATAGAAAACTTTTCACACAACAGACAAAAAAAACTCACACCGACCAGGACATGATATACTGCCGTGGCACTCAGTTAGCAGACGCAGACCTATCTAGTCTTATAAATATTAGATGCTTCGCTTTTTCCCGCTCATTTAGCAAGCAGCGGAGTAATTGATGTAATGGGAGCCCGAGATAATGGGAGCGTAATGAG